GAAAAAGAGATAGATCTCGTGATCCAGCGAGTGGCGGTGACCTGTACAGTCATGTATTTGGCGAAGGGGTAGCTACACAGGGCACCCAGGCTCCAGAAGGCTGCTCCATCTGAACACTTATTACTTTTTATTATTGCTTTAGAAGTAAAGCTTGAAAATAGACTAGTTCCAACGATAAGTTGAATATTAGGGAGTGTTGCCGAAGGCGTGTGCTACACCAATGTCTTAGTGCAGTTGAGCAGAGTGAATGCAAGCAAGACATGTGGAAAAGCGAGATACTAACACTATATCATACTACACCATATCATCACTATATCATACCAAATATAGTGAAAATAGCATTGTGTCACCTCTCAAAAGACAGACAGTGGAGAATCCGAACTTATGGTGAAGGGAAAGGGGTACTTTTTGGTGAAAATACTCGAAAAGAGTAGTTCTTCCAGCATGCTGAACTACCGAGCTAGATTCATACTGCGACCTCAGTTGCGTGTCCAAGACATTTTAGAAGTGATGACACGAACGACTGTTGAAGCATGATCAAGTTACCTCAAATTCTTTGCAGTTGCTTGCCCAATCCACAAAAACCTCTCCAGCTAGTGTGCATGGGTCGAGAAAAATCGATCAGCCTTTACCAACCCGACCTGGTAAGCTTGCTGGTTTTACAGACTGATACACATATGTTATAAAGTAGACGATGTCTCAGGTTGGAGAATCTACGCCTCGGAACTGTTTTGGCAGATCTGTACGAAAATAAATACTCTTGTGGACAGACCGGTGGATCGCAGCTCATCACATGACCATTTGATGGAATAGAAAGGAGGGAAGTTTTGCGTTGTGATCACTGACGCTACATATCCGTTGTGAGTGAAAGTTGAGTACGGAAGTCGCGAACAAGCCCCCTTGCTATACATGCCCCAGCGGAGTTTATCATAAGCCTGCCCTCTGTCACTAGAACACTACCTTGTTGGCTTGTCAAGGTCAGCGGACATACGAACAACTCTCGATCAAATATCACTTTGGGTTCCAGTTTTCAACTATCGGGGTGATTTATCCTGGTCCAGAAGCCACCTCACATAGTGGTAGCCATTTTTCGTTACTATTGAGATAGTTTAAGTCTTAACTCGCGAAAATTTGCGATATTTCCGCCTCTCTTGTCCATGCCTAGACTATACAGTTCTCATGGGTCATTCGAGGTTGCGCGGCTGTATTTGACTGACAGTTCCCACGGTTCAGTCATCGTGAGTGTGGGAACCAGATCACCGCATCACTGGCTGTGCTCACGATCGGACAGGGTAGGTTCACCCAATTGGCGGACGATGCCCACTTATCACGTGTTTTCATTCGGCACTTCTGGTTCACGCACATCGCTGTCTGCGCTCTCTGACCTAGAAGGAACGTCAAAGCAGACACCAGGACTACAGCATGCGGCTTGGTGGCCGTTAAATCTGCGATAACATATGCTGGACTACTCTTTTAAAGGGTCGTTTGCCTGACATTTATGTCATCATCTTGCTATTCTTCTGAGAACTACAAGAGGCCACTATTAACAATAGCTTTCTTTAGGCCAGCCTCGAACATATTCAACAAGACACCACAGGGAGACAAAACAGAAAAAGTGGTGTATGAATCAGATCTTTTTCCGGAGCATTTTGCAGTACCTCACAGAATCGTCATCTCTATGGTGAACAGTTTCTGCCACAGACTTTTGTGTCAAACAAAAAAGGTCATCAGGTGTTGCCAGGACGCGCCCAGACATGGAAAAAGTACATGTGCAGAGAGTGAGGCATTCCCAAGGTCACCATCGGTCCCACCCGCAGGTGCATTGGCGGAGCTAACCAAGCACGGCTTAGCAACATAAGGCCAGTGGGGTGGGGCTGAAGCTGCTCACGACCGGAGCACCGTCACTGGCTGTACAGAAAGGGCAAGTGAACGACCGTATTTGGCCCTGTTATCGTCGCAGAAGCTCTATATGGTTTGTCCTGACAACACAGCCGTGTCTCGAGTTCTCTTCTTCTTAGTCTAACAGGATCAGTGCAGGCGTAACCAATAGACTGTCACCCACGATGCAACAGCTGTGTGAACTACATATCACGTGAAAAATACACTGATTTGTGAAATCAGTTTGAGATGACAACCATGGTTTCGGTACGGGGGAGTAACACACGAGGGGATATCTTATCTAGGTTTATAGAATGATCAGCTCTTTGAAATTTCGTCTACTGAGTGTTAAACTATCTAATAAAAATAAGAAAGCAACAGAAAATCACTTGCAAGCATTTATGTCCCACATGAGTGAGATGACTGATTGCTTCAGCTACACCGGTACCTTGCTCTAAAACACATCGCAGCTGTGTTGATTGTGCGTTAAAAACAAGATTTGTGAAAAAGTGAATTCAGGCTTTGAGTCTATGCCTAATTCAGTTTCCTTTAACTTGAATGCTATTTGCTTTGCACAACAGTTGCAATTGTTACACTTCGAAATTCTCAGACTGTTCTGTAACATAGTAAAAGACATTTGCAATGCATATAGAATACTACTCAAAAGGTTGCTGAAAACTCATCGACAGCCCAACCACCAATTTCACGCTTCTGGGTGCTCGTCAGGTAGGCGCAGCCCCCGAGTTTCACTCAACCTGGTGTCCTATTTGAACTCAACGTTTACTAATTTTTACCTGGGTGTACATGGTGGCGGATAATAAACGCGACCTTTACATGGGTTTTTTATGTCAGATGTTTTAAAAGGGGGTCACAATATTACTGCTAGCTGCATTTTACATCCTTCTATCGCCATCAAAATCTAATGTAAATAAATTCTCATCTAGGAAATTACTCACAAGGTTGCTGAAAACTCTTCGCCCTTCTTGGGACACATCAGGTAGGCGCAGTCTCCGAGTTTCCGTTAACCTCATGTTCTACTTAAACCCAGCACATTCAGTTGTAGAATATCATAAACGAGCTATGCAGTTGAGTCTCTCGGTGAGAACCAATTGATTTGCAAATAAGTGTATTTATTGAAGATTCCCATCTACTTGTATAGTCGATAGAATGTGTCCCTCCCAAGAGTGACGCCCCCTGGAGAAGTTCTTCGTTTGCATCTCCACCAAGCAGTGCTTTCATGCGATGACTAATAAAAGCACATTTATTCCCCTTTTGGTGAAATAAACTCATTTTCATACCCATTAATTTTTCGCAAGGGGCCCAACTGCAATATCTCGACTATCGTACCAAATGGAACATGTGGCGGCCTTTATGCAGCGCATTCAGTTGAAGAATATCATAAACGAGAGATTCAGCTGAGTTTCACGGAAAAACTCGGTTGATATGCCGATGTTGACATCCACATTGTGGTTTCCATGACCAAAGAATCAGTTTAATCTTTTGCGAAGATTTTGTCCTTTCGTGACAGTTACAGTCGAGGTGTTTGTAGATGCCAAGCAGACATATTCTATGTCCCTCCACCGGATAAATAGATAATCAGAGATAAAAAACCGTCATTTGATCCAGAACTCTACAAATAATTTCGAATCATGCCAGGGGCGAAATGACTCGGTGGTTCGAGTGCGGATTTACTGACCGGAAGGTCCGTGGTTCGAACCCGACCTCTGCCTCTTGACTTCCCCTGACTAGGCTTGGGCAAACTGGCAGTATCC